TATCGATATCGAGACAGGTATTTATAGAAATACTGACATATCGACGTAAATTTAAATACGGGAATATTTAGAGCCTGCTCGGGAAATTGAATTTTTTATTATTATTATTTATTAAAAAAAAAAAGACTAAATGAGGAAATGATTCGTGTATAAATCTGGTCCCACGTGGTACGGAATTAAATGTCCTAATTCAACGGATATAAACTGTGTTATATTGTTAACTGAGACTGATTTTAGTTCGGTTCATTTTCCCTTTATTTATTTATTTATTTATTATTATTATTATTATTTTTACTTTTTTCCTTTTGATTTCCTTTAATAATAATAATAGTAGAAATAATATTTTATTATTTAAATAAAAATTGAGTATAATTCAATCGTAATTATCATGTTTTCTCGGGTAATAGATTTACGATTTAAAATCATGAAATAATCGATCGGGTTAAGACATCATTTCTTCAAATTCATACCTCACTGATACTACAAATATTAGGTTAAATTACAAATTTAGTATCTATCAAACTGCATGCAAGCCGTGGTGGATCGACCGAGAGAAGTATATATTCAACTATAGGCGGTTCGTTACAGGCTTCTCAGGTGATCAATTGGAAGAGATAAAGTTAGAATTTAATCGGTATGATTTTAAAATTTTAAATTTTATTTCTATAGTTTGATAAAATCGTGTAAATAGCTACTAACAGATTGAATGTATGACGATTAAAAGTCACTAACAGATTAAGTACAAAGTAATGTAGCTGACTGGTAATTAGTGGTAGAGATTATTTACGTGATTTTATTAAATAACCGAGATTGAAATTTGAACTTTTGTAATCAAACTTTATTCAAATCGTAAGACCAAACGAGTAATTTAACCTGAAGACTGATTTTCACGTTTTTTGTTGGTTTAAAAGTGTGAAAAGAATCTGTATTTTCGAGAAATGATTGTAGGATGAAATTAATAAGTTGATTCATTATTTTAAACCGGACCCATTTGAATTAAGTGACGATATGCTCGTTGAGCTATGTTCGTGTTAACCGAAATATACAATTGCATTACAAACGTAGTAAACTGAGAAATTTAATAATTTAAATCTTAAATTCGTTCCATTAGTTTGTCTACCGTTCAAATTGGATATGAAATCTTATACTCTGTAATCTAAATCTTATCATAGAAATATCTAGAACAAGAATCAATCGAGGCGTCCTCGTCTAATTAAAATAAATAATAAAACTTAATGAAACTCTTACAAAATTCAAGCTATTATATCATCCATATCGCATACTCGAAAGCACCCGACCCCTCTTCATCATGAACGTTCCACTCAAGAAGGTTCATGTCGTAGACCCGAAGACACTCAACCCTACCCCACTTTGCACCTTCCGTTTGTAAACGCACGGTTTGAAAGAAGAAAAAAAAAATTGAACTTACATCATATTCTCGAAATCAAATTTGACATATAAGATACAAATATTATGAATATGATATAGTTTTAAAGTCACAATAAAACGACAAAAAAAAAAAAAATCTTATCAACATATCTTAATTCACACGTCTAAAATAATAAATAAAATACGGTAATATGAACAAATTTTATCAGAAAAAATTGTTATATTAACATATTATTCTATAAATTTATAAATATAGCGACAAATTGAGCTAAATAAAACATAAAATATTCATGTTCTCGTTCTTGTTCTCGTTCTTGTTCGTATATATTTTAAAAATAAAAAAGAAATTTAATAAACCCAATGAATTTTAATTTAAGCACATGGAATTAGTGCCTAAAATTATGGAATTTCCCAACATTTAAAACATCAAACACAGACACAAGTGGGATCCTTTGATGTCTTCTATAAATAAAGTTTCTTTCATTGTTTTTTTGTCTGTCTATATGATTTGAATCTTCAATTTTTCATCTCAAATTTCTATTTTCCATTTGGTCCCTTCAAACCCACAAGAATTTAAAATAAAAAAAAAAAAGTTATTTATTTATTTATTTATTTTTGGAGTTATGGATGATTCACCAAATTCAATGGCTTCCACTCTTCAGCAAAAGCTTCAGTTCATCCTCCATAATCGCCATGAATGGTGGGCTTATTCAATCTTTTGGATAGCTTCTAAGGATCATCTCACTCAAAATTTGGTTTTTAATTGGAGAGATGGCCATTTTCGAGGCACTAGGGACTTTGTTGCTCGTCCTAGCAAGCCACTTAGTGGCAATGCTCAACTCATTAGTTTCGGGTTCGATGAAGCTGCGGTAGATCAACGAAAACGTACCGATTTCGTTGACTTGGAATGGTATGATTGAATTACTACGAAACCTGGAAGCTCGATTTGAGCTTAAAGGTTTTTTCGTATTAGTAATTGTTTATTCATAGTTTAAGCTAATGAGTTATGATATATTTAATTATAGGTACTATACGTTATCTGTGACACGATTGTTTAACATGACGGATAATGTGGTCGGTCGAGTGTTCGACTCGGGTACGTACGTTTGGTTAACGGCGGACGATGGGTTAGATTTGTATGAATGCGAACGAGTTAAGGAAGCACGTATGAAAGGGATTCAAACGTTGGTTTTTGTTTCAATTTCTGGTGGGGTTCTTGAATTGGGTTCTTCTGAGTTGATTAAACAAGATTGGAGTCTTGCTCAGTTTGCAAAATCGGTTTTTGGATGTGGGTTTGCAAATTTTGCACCATTTCAAGAAAAAAATCAGGAGGAGGGTGGTGGTGGAGGGTTGATTGAAGCACACGCGCCTCCGTGCTCCGCCGTGACGAAGGGAGAGATGGGTAGCAGTGGTGGTGGTGCTGGTGGAGGAGGAGGAGGATCGTCGTCGGATTCTCTCTCTGGTAACTCCGATGGGAATTTCATATCAAACATAGACAATAAGAGAGGGAGGAGACCGACAAAGAGTAAAACAGAGTCCACGCCGCCGGTGAACCATGTGGAGGCAGAGCGGCAGCGGCGGCAGAAGCTGAACCACCGATTCTACGCGCTCCGATCAGTGGTTCCAAACGTATCAAAAATGGACAAAGCTTCCTTATTGGCGGATGCTGTGATATACATCAATGAGCTTAAGTCCAAGGTTCAATCATTGGAGGCCATGCTAGGCGGCGGCCGCGGCGGCGGCGGTAACGGCGGAAGCAGCGGCGGTGGCGGCACGTTGGAGAAGAACTGTGTGATGAACAGCAAGAACAATGTAGAAGTGAAGATTATTGGATCAGAAGCAATGGTGAGAGTTCAATGCAGAGATGAAAATCATCCATCGGCGAGGCTTTTGAATGTTCTAAGAGATTTGGGTCTTCAAATTCATCATGCAAGTTTGTCAAGTGTAAATGATTTGATGCTGCAAGATGTTGTTGTTAGAGTCCCTCAAGGTGTTGTTTTGGGAGAAAAGGCGTTAAGAATCGCCCTACTTCAACGACTTCAATGTTGATTTGATCGTTTAGTTCGTGTTTATCGTTGTAAGTTGGTGTATGCATGTTTTACGTTAGTATTGTTTGAACGATCGAGTTGAGATTCCACTGAAAACCACGATATGTATTAGAAGTTGACCGTTGCAGATCGGTATGTGCATGTTGTAATTCTTGTGTCGGGGAATAATAGAGTACTACGTGTCTAGAAAGTTGGTGAGTCTCACTAGGACATGATTAAAAATGTAATAACATAAGCCCACCGCAAGCAGATATTGTCCTCTTTGAGTTTTCCCTGCTCACTACGAGTAGATATTGTCATATTTGAGTTTTCCCTTCTAGGCTTCTCCTCAAAGTTTTTAAACGGGTTTGTTATGGAGAGGGTCCAACCCTACTCCGACCAGTGCCTCACACTGTCCGGGGACTGACTCTGATACCATTTGTAATAGCCCAAACCCATTGTTAACATATATTGTTCTCTTTGGGCTTTCTCTTTCGGGTTTCCCCTCAAGATTTTAAAACGCGTCTATAAAGGGTTTGAGCTTTCCCCTCGAGGTTTTAAAACGCATCTATAGAGGGTCCATCCCTACTCCAACTAGTGCCTCACACTGTCCAGCAACTGACTCTAATATCATTTGTAACAACCTAAGCCCACCACAAGCAGATATTGTCTTCTTTTTTAGTTTTCTATGCCCACTACTAGAAGATATTGTCATCTGTGAGCTTTTCCTTCCAGACTTTCCCTCAAAGTTTTAAACGGGTCTGTTATGGAGAGGGTCCAGTCCTACACCGACCAGTGCCTCGCACCGTTTGACGACTGACTCTGATACAATTTGTAATAGCCCAAGTCCACTGTTAGCATATATTGTCCTCTTTGGGCCTTCCCTTTCGAGTTTCCCCTCAAGGTTTTAAAACGTGTCTGTAAAGGGTTTGGGCTTTCACCTCGAGGTTTTAAAATGCGTTTGTAGAGGGCCCATCCCTATTCCGACTAGTGCCTCACATTATCCAGTGTCTGACTCTAATACCATTTATAACAACTCAAGCCCACCTCTAGTAGATATTGTCTTTTTTCAACTTTCTTTTATGGGCTTCCCCTGAAGATTTTAAAACGTGTATGTTAAAGAGAGGTTTCCACACCCTTATAATGTTTCGTTCATTTCTTCAACCTGCGGGATCTCACAAAAGATCTTAACCAGACTAGTTACACAAGAAGGTGTCTCCCATCGTGTAAGCTAAGTTCTAGGATTTACTTTGAAAGTTTCTCGACTAGTCAAGAGATAACGATATTTACTCGTACACGAAAGTCTAACGAATCTTGTACTAGTTCTAGCTAATAGAGCAAAACGTACTCAAAGTTAAGTCGTGTTCGGTAAAAATTGAGCTAGTACTTTTGCCCCCATAAACCAGAGGATGTGGCATTTAAAGTGTCACACCCACCACAAATTGCCCATATCCATGCTTCGTACACCACAGCCACAGATTGGCTTCTAACCTCATCTTCATGTAAGTTCTTCAATAATATCTAAATCTTAGCCATCAAGTTCATCAAAACCTCTCGATGATCTCGAATCAATGATATTGTTCACTTCAATGGTCTCAACCGACATGATTGTAACTTCAATTTCATCTAAAGTACCTCATTCCGTTCCCTATATCTCAATGTCTGCCCTATTCTTGCCCACGTCTCTAAAATTGTGAATGGATAGAAACGAGACGATATCAACCACCCAGAACGTGTATCGTATGCATCGTTAGGATATCATATCAAAGCAAAATTTGAAGAGGAAGAATCATATAGTACCATACCACAAATGGTGGTCTTGAAGCTACAAAGCGCCCAATTCTTCACAGCTCCGTGTGAGATTAGGAGTAGAAAAAGGGGGAATGGTCAGAAATTTAGTAGAATTATTCGATGTGGGATTGCGGAGGCTTCTGGTGAGCCAGCGCCATTGGGCCAAAAAACCAAATACAATGATGGGCCATTTGAGAAGGTTTTCATGACACTTTTTGCGAAGAAAATGGAGCGATACGCAAATTCGAAGGAGCAAACGAAGAAGATCGGATGGTGGGATTTTCTTTATGACTACGAACGATTTGTCGATGCTTCAAAAAGGGTAATGCAAGGGAAGAATCGTATGCAACAACAGCTCGTGGTTCGTGAGGTTCTCTTGTCTATGCTCCCTCCCGGCGCTCCGGCTCAGGTCGGCCTGTTTTTCTTTCTATATATTTTCGTCTTCTCCGATCATCGTGTGAACTGAATCGGAAACTGATGATCGCAGTTCAGGAAATTGTTTCCTCCGACGAAATGGGCTTGTGAGTTCAATGCTTCGATAACGGTGCCGTTCTTTCAGTGGCTAGTCGGCCCATCGGAGGTAATTTCATTTCATTGAATCCTTTGTGTTCTGTTGATTTGGATGTTTGTTTGAATTTTTCAATTGAGGAATCAGTTTATGTGCTCTGACTCTGTAGTGTTGATGATCGGTTGTTTATGTGCTATGAACTGCTAGGGATAGTGAGTGATAATTGCTTATGTGCTGCATTCTAGGTGGGTTTGTTGTTGATTTGGGAAGCTTTGTTGTCTGTTGTTTTAGAATCAAGAGTTTTGCCCTGAACTACTTGGTTCTACTAGCTGCATTAGGGTTAGTAGTTGGACAAACTCATGGGTTTGATGGTACCCTAAATTATTCTCCGAACTCGTTGTGAGATCCCACGCTGGTTAGAGAGGGGAACGAAACATTCGGCGTGGAAACTTCTCCCTAGTAGACTTGTTTTAAAATATTGAGGGGAAGCCCAGAAGTGAAAGCCTAAAGAGGACAATATCTTTTAGCGGTGGGCTTGAGTTGTTACAAATGGTATTAGAGTCGGACATTGGGCGGTGCGACAATGAGGACGCTGAGCCTTCAAGGGGTGGATTGTGAGATCCCACATAAGTCGGAGAGAGGAACGAAACATTCCTTATAAAGGTGTGGAAACCTCTCCCTATTAGACGCGTTCTAAAACTTTGAGGGGAAGCCTAGAATGGAAAGCTTGAAAAGGACAATTTCTACTAGCAGTGGGCTTGAGCTGTTGCAAATGGTATCAGAGCTAGATACTGGGCAGTGTGCCAACGAGAACGTTGAGCCTCCAAAGGGGGTGAATTGTGAGATCCCACATTGGTTGGGGAGGGGAACAAAGCATTTCTTATTAGGGTGTGAAAACCTCTCCTTAGCAGACGCGTTCTAAAACCTTGAGTAGAAGTTAAGGAAAGCCCAAAGAGGACAATATTTGCTAGCGGTGAGCTTGGGCTATTACAAATGGTATCAGAGTCAGACGCCAGGCTGTGTGACAACGAAGATGCTGAGCCCCCAAGGGGAGTGGAGCCCAGAAGGGAAAGCTCAAAGAGGACAACATTTGTTAGTGAACTTGGGTTGTTACAAATGGTATTAGAGCCAGACACCGAGCAGTGTGACAATGAGGACGTTGAGCCCCCAAGGGGAGTAGAGCCCAGAAGGGAAAGCCCAAAGAAGACAACATCTACTAGCGGTGGATTTGAGTTGTTACAAATAGTATCAAACAAGACAAATGTGTAAGGTACAAATGCACGAGGCTTTCTAGTCTTCTAAAGTGTTGAGAGCTTGGTTTAAAAGGTTAAAAATCTATTTTAATATCATCTTCTAGCATATAGTAGGGAGAAGTTTCCACACCCTTAGAAAGAATGTTTCGTTCCCCTTCCAACCAATGTGGGATCTCACAATTCACCTCCTTTAGGGGTCCAACGTCCTTGCTAGCACAACGCTTGGTGCCTGACATTAATACCATTTGTAACAGTCCAAGCCCACCGTTAGCGAATATTGTCCTCTTTGGACTTTCCCTTCCAGACTTCCCCTCAAGGTTTTAAAATGCATCTACTAGGGAGAGGTTTCTACACCCTTATAAGGAACGTTTCGTTCCCCTCTCCAACCGATGTAGGATCTCACAATCCACCCCCTTTGGGGTCCCAGCGTCCTCGCTGGCATATTGCTCAATGCCTGGCTCTGATACTATTTGTAACAGCCCAAGCCCACCGCTAACAGATATTGTCCTCTTTAGGCTTTCCCTTCCGAGCTTCCCCTCAAGGTTTTAAAACGCGTCTACTAGGGAGAGGTTTTCACACTTTATAAAGAATGTTTTCTTCCCCTCTTCAACCAATATGAGATCTCACAGTAACTCATTTGCTTAAACTTTTGAGTTCGATTGTTGGATTACAGTGTTATTGGAGCTTTAATATTAGACTACGACGAAATGACTAGAAATTCGATTTTCAGTGATTAAAATCAGTAAGTTTCTAGAGTGCTCCTAATATTCTTATAAGAGGTTTCTATGGTACTTGAAAAGAACAGTATATTTCAGCTGTTGGTTTACTCAACCAGAGCTCCTTGAGTCTCTGAGGGTTTAAGGATGTTAACTGATCCAATGGTGTCGATAATGGGTTACGATGCAGTTGGCTTGAATCCGTGTTTTCGGAACGTGCAATAACTGTCTAACCCTACCATATTTAGTTTCGAAACTCACAAAATTATGATCTTGTTCTTCCTCGTCTGTAGGTTGTGGAAGTGGAGGTAAACGGTATAAAGCAAAGAAGTGGAGTTCATATAAAGAAATGCAGGTATAAACTACATTTTCGCTATAACCAAATTTCTAGTCGATTAAGGAAAACACTCCTTCGTCTGTCTCCATCCATCGATAAGCTAAGACTACGACATGAATGAACACGAATCTGTCCATTCAATTTTCTTTAACGTACTTTTGAATCCCTGTCGAAGGTACCTCGAGAACAGTGGGTGTGTGGGTATGTGTGTGAATATGTGCAAGATACCCACACAAGATTTCTTCACCAACGAATTTGGGCTCCCTCTCACCATGAATCCGAGTATGTATATACTGTTTTACAAGAACATATATATACATATATATGCATTTTCAGTACTGTTTTGTACTGATCAGATTGGATTCAAGGCCTAAAAACCATAATTTGTTCTTGGTTTATCACCTTGTTAGATTTTGAAGACATGAGCTGTGAGATGATATACGGTCAAGTTCCACCGCTGTTCGAAGAGGATCCCGTGTCGAAGCAACCGTGCTACAAGGATATATGTAAGAGGAATCTGTTAGTTCTTGCAATGATCAAGTATGTTCTTGGTTTTTAGCTGATTTGTGTTCTTCATCTGTGTTTGTTTGCTGACAGGTTCCATGTCCAATCCTAGCTCGTCGTTATGTCCTAAATTACTAGCTTAAATGACGTTCTTTCATGGTTTGATTCTGTTCATCACCATGTCTGCATACGTTGTCGGATACATACTGTAGTGTATAGATTCTCTTGCTGTGTTAGAGAGGCAACAATGTTGTTTCTTTGCAAAAACTTTACTATGTTTACTTTTTTTTTTTTTTTTTTTTTTT